GTGATTTTTAGAAGTGTAGTACACTGTAAGTCAGTGAGGGCAGCCACTGGAAGCAAATAAAGAACTACTTGTGTCCATGTTATTGATTCAGATTAGTCATTTTAAGCAGTGATCTTCGAGGACTTCTGTATTCCCAGATTCTCTGTGCACATGCATTATCCAGCCCTAGGAATGGGAGGCAGGAGGTCTGTCAATTTAGAAAGGAGAAGCTCAGTTCTCTTTTAATTTTACTCACTTGAAACTGTGTTCTGTATTGGAATTCTTTTCCTAGAATTAGGAAGGTCACTAGCTACATGCATATTGGGGAAAGGCAAATTTGAGGCATTTTGGAAGTTTATTTGCACTCGCTGTAGCATCAGGAAAGTCAGTACAAAGCATTGCATTTGGATGTGGCAGCAGTTCACTGCCACTCTTTGAGGGTGATACTGACATGAAAATGGACGATAGCACTTGCAAATCTTTTTTACCCTATGGCTCTAAATCAATCTGGGCATAAGAACTCATGATGTTTGTCTCAGCTGTGATATTGCTGTTGCTTTTTCTTGGGGTTTTTCAGGCTGTGAGGCTGTTTGCAATGAAAACTTCTTCAAAGGTCAGAACTGGCTTGGGCTGCTGCTGAGTTCAAATCTATCAGAACTGATTTGCCAGCTGATATGTTAATCAAAAAGGCATTTGGTTTTTTTATTTTTTAAATCTTCTTTAGCATTAGAATGTGATAAAGAAGCACTCCTGCTTTCTAATGTTTGAAAATGCTGATCTTGGATGCTATTTCTGATATTAAAATAAATACTATTAGATGTCATCTTCTCTTTTTGTTGTTTATGCAGCTGGTATTTGTTTTCCTGATTTTGTTGTTGTTTGCTTAGTTTACTGAATGCTAAAAGGGTTCAGCTCAACTCATATTTCTGGTGAAGAGGAAGGAAATTTTTAAAGGAAAAGAAAGATTTGTTTTTTTGTAGAATGAAAGGTAAACCATATTTCTATTGATCTACATATTTTTAAAAACATTTGCCTTCTTTATTGGCTAAGAAGCTTAAACACGGGCTTGGATCATCATGGCAGGTTCTTCTAGGTGCTTTGAGAACGAACTATTCTGACAAAAACAAATGACATATAATTAAGCAAAATTATGCCATGAGAAATGATGAGATGGAGTATATCATCTAGCAAAGAATAGCAAGCTCCACTGTTCCATTTCTCAAAGTCTTCTTTTCCCATAGATCACTTAGAAGATGGATCACCACTTGGAAAGAGCCACAACATTGAGTCTTTGTCCTTTCTCTGCATGCCGGAATGGGGCTCACTCTTTTGTTCTGCCTAACTGCTAAGTTTCACCACCCCAGGCAAGAAAACAGAAAACATTTGCTGCTGAGAGAAAATCACCTTGAAGATAATTTTGTTTCTTCCCAGAATGAGTTATCTAAATATTACTGCCATAGCATTTGGCCACTGTAAGATTTGCAGGGCTATAAAACTTTTGATCATCCCACGAAGGGGGGACGAGCTGAAGGACATCTCTTCTTTTTGATGAAGCACAGAGGAAAAAGAACAGCATAACAGAGAGACTATTTATAGAGGCTGCTTGCCAAGTCAAAGCCCAAGCTTTAATTACATTTGTGCACAATGTAGCCACATTTAATAAAGGTCTAGATGCAGTATCATCTTCTATTTGACTTATTAGCATTTGCCTTTTCTCTGTAAAATCTGGCACCTGTTGTTGTGATTGACTGTGAGTAGGAGTGCAGATAGATCAGGGCTGAAAGTCAGTCAATGTCACAAGCTCATTTAATGTAACCCTTCTAGAACTGTCCTAGTTCTGTTGACTCGTGGAGAGTTCACTGGTGATTACAGGTTGCTCTGTGTCGTCAGCGTGCCGTGGTTAGATAGGTAGGCTGTGGTACCTTGTGGGACTGTGGTGTGGGTGGCAGCTGTCTGGGGGTGTAGGCATGTGAACTGATTGGTCTCCTTTGGAGTATTTTGTCGTGGTCAGGGTTTGATTTCCACAGAGGCGTTTATCAGACAGAACAATAAATGCTAGTGCTTTACAAATCTGTTGATATCGTAAGTAGCCTTGTCTCTTCAAGAGATTCTGTTGATATCGTAAGTAGCCTTGTCTCTTCAAGAGATATGCCAAAGAAGTCCAGCTGGGCTTGAATTCCTGTTTGTTTTTTTTGTTTGTTTTTGTTATTTTTTTAAAATAGTCTTGTCTAGATCAGGGGTGAAGTTCTTGGTCAGGGCACTACAAGATGCTTGTGTTTTCCCATCATTTCTTGGAATGATAAAGACAGACATTCCAGTTTCTAGCTCCAAAATGTTGCAAAACCCTGATGCTCTGTAAGATTTATGTGAAGTCTGGCAGCAATCTCTAGTCCTGCTTTCTGTCTGTACACAGGGTGTTCAATAGAGAAACAGGCTTAGGCTTTTTGTGTTTTCACTCTTATCTATTGATGTTATATTGCCTCTCTGGACACCCTGAGTACCTTTTTGACCTCACATCTCACCTTCTTCCCCAGTACTCGTTTTGATCAGAACTGAAGCCTAGTGCCAATTACTGATGCACTTCCATATTGAAAATAACTTCTGGCACCCTAGATGGCAGCACTCACTTTTGTATCTGTGGTACATGTAGCTGGGTACTGGTGTTCAGGTAAGGACTGGGTAAGATCCATACATTGCTGTTATCTCTTGTAGATTTGGAGCAAAATGGAGAGATGAGGAGTGGTAGAGCCCTGAATTAAATTTTTTTTTTTCATGTTGGATGATGGCAGGCTGCTGTATTACAGCAAAAGGATACTTTTTCTAGTCCATGGTTCTCTTTTCAGGTGTTCCCATCTGAAACATTACCAGGACCTTAGAAGAGGTGCTTGCTTTTCCAAATCCCAGTAGGGTCTGTGCTGTCATTTCTGTGAGCAAATAGTCAATTTGGATTTCAAACTCAACCTGGAATTAAAATCTTTATTCTTGACTAAAGTCCAGATGAGTGCTGTTCAATATTGAAGCTGGTTTGTATTGCTTCCCTCATGGTTTCTATTGCTTCCCTCAGAGAAATGCGTCTGTTCCGGACTGTTTTATTTTTTTTTGCCTTCGTTGGCACATTTATTTGTTTGTGTTGCATAGGAAACTGAGTATGTTATGATGCTAAATCTTTCCTACCAAGCAGCAGCTCTGGCTCAGCCTTGGTGGTTATTTAAAATCTCAGAAGAGACTCATCAGCTGCTTTACTTGTACATTCAAGCACACAAGGTGATATGCTAATTGGCCTTTCATTAGTGCCTGACTGACGTCACCAACAGAGTAGAAAGAAAGCAGGCTAAACTGATGAAGTACTTTTCCACTGTTGAGCTGGTTCTGATGCAGCTATGTACTATAGCTTTTTTTTCTTTTTTTTTTTTGGGAACAGTTCTAATTTTCTGTGTGACTGCATTTGTGCACTGTAGCATTCAAACATTGCCCTGGTGTATTACTCTCAGAGCTGAGCATTTTATGAAAAAGAGAACGGGAACAGAGGCTTTGAAATTCTTCTCTTTCTTTAGTGTTATTACTGTCTCAGATAGCTTCAATTTGGTTGAACAAGTGACATTTCATGATGCATCTCATCAGTGCTCTTCTCATATATATCTACATGTTTAGGCAGTCTGTCTCCTATAAGAAGCATAGATACTGCAGGTAATAAACAGTTGTGTACCACTTAATGAGCAAGAGGCACAGCTCCTCTTTTCCAGGAGGTTATCCACTGTGTGAGCTCAAGCAGAGATTGTCATAGAATTGAAAAAGATCCTGTTCTTTTTTCAGAGCTGCCAGAACAAGCCTTTCAAATCTGAGAAGCTTTTTCATGAGTATAGCAAGCAGCTTTTTCAGTACAGTACAAGAAGGATCTACATCACATAATGGGATATAGTACTGCATCAGAAGCCCATTGAGCTGGGTTCAGTTCCTGCATTGACTTCCTGAAATCACTTCATCTTTTTGTGCCTCAGAGACCCTATCACCTGTATGACAGGGCTAATATCTTCCTTTATAAAATGCTTTGCTATGACAAGTCTTTCTAAGATGAGCTAAGTTTGTATCCTCACAAATTACAAAAATCAAAAGGTGTTTTGGTCGTGATCATGAGTAAATGTAGGCTAAGAAAGAACAGATTTGCTTGATAGGAAACCATAGCTACTCAGCAGAACTAAATGAAATAAGTTGACCCCGGGATTAATTAAACAGAACTGCTATTGCTAGTGGCTTGTTGTGAATTGGAGAAATAATTTTGTCTTGTAATATGTTAACTGAAATGTAATAAAAAAGCTAAAGACAGATAGAAGCTCTGATGTTGATAAGGCCATGGAAATACAATCAGGATTATTTCTTTTGAAATTACAGATGTGGAGTGCTGAACTGTTTGTTGCTTTAATTTCATTTAAAAATAATAACAATAGAGACCTTGATAAACTGGGGCGTGTTTTGGTGATTAGAAACCTCTTGTAATCACAATGGCAGAAATGTAATCTTAGGCTGTAGTCCATATATGTGTCCTAATGAGAGCTATTAAGGGCATTGGTTTGCATCCAGCTTGCAGGCCAAGACACTTAACATTTTCTTTTAGTTTCTGGCATTAGCTGGGGTGCAGAGACCAAATGGCTGGGACTATCTTGTTCTTTAGTTCAATTAATAGACCTCTGCTGTTTCTCTGGAATAAAAATCTGATAGCACAGGATGAAAAATTACTCCAAAGCTTTCAGTGGGACCAACAAATGAAATCCATCATGGATTTAAATGGGATCATATTATAATCTTCTCCCTTCCTTGGACCAGAGATCTTTTCCTCTGTGATTTTTATGTTATTTTGAATCATGAAGACAAGGACAAATTCAGGGAGTTGCTGAATCCTTTGTCATGAGCCCCTGTTACAGTTTATTGACTCATCTGTCTTAATGTGGAAGAACTAGTTAAGGACTCATGAGGAAAAGTCAACAGTGGGCATGAATTCATAACTCCTCCTTTTCTTCCAGGCAGAATGAAATCCCTGGGCAATGGCTGAAGCAGTTCTGCCCAGAGACACCACTGCAGTTTTGCACTGCAGTAACAGCAAACAGTTGACTTGTGGGAATGGTGCACGTGCTCCATCTCTGCCTGGGAGTTGTTGGTGAGTTACTTGATGATTGCTGTCACTACTGTGTTTTGAGCCCAAGGAGTGCTGATTGTAAAAACATACTTTTTTTCAGGACTGTAGTCAGTTGTTTGGGACCTCTGAAGTTAAGCAGTGCTCTGTAAATGAAATATGTAGAAATAGAAAGAGATGTGAGGGAAATAATCCCAAACAGCAGTGATATATTTCACCTCTTATAAGTTGAGTTCCTCATAGGAGAAGTAAAAATGGCTGCAATGAATAAAGTTTTAGCAAAAAACCTCTTTTGGTCGTAAAACTAGTCACTTGTGTAAAGGAAATGAGCGGTCATGTGTGAGTTAAGGTGAGTTAAGTTACATGAATTAGGTTTTGGCTCTGGACTCTGAGAGTAGATGGTTTATTCAGAGGTTTTGTTCTGAATGGAATGTCTCAAAACTCTAGTTACTTTAACGGGGAGACCCAGGCATTTTAACATGCAGTCAATAAGATGGCTCAGTTAGCATAATGGGGCTGGTTGGGATAAACCATGGCAACCATGGGATAAATCACATGGCTGAATGATGCTGTGAGCTGTGAAAGGAAGTAGTGCTAGGTGAGGGAAATTGGAGAGGAGGAAGCAGGTTAGGGAGCATGTGAGGTTTTCCATTCTTGTAAAGGATGAGTGATGTCCCAGAGACAAAGTAGCTTTGAAAATGGAGACAGCGCTTCAGAGAAGAGAGCAAAAGCAATTAGCCTAAAAATCAGTTTTTAGAAGGCCAGTGGGATAAGAAGTGTAAAGTCACACTGAGTATGCTGAGGTGTTAAGAAACAGCCAGTGCACCAAATCACAATGACCAGTTTTTATTTCCTTTCACATTAGGATACCAGGCCACATAAATAAGGAGGCAAGGTGCATTTTCACAGCAGAAGTTTCTCAAACAATATTCAAGAGTGTGGAAGAGTTTTTTCAATTACATTCTCCTAAATGAGATAAATACACACAAAGTGATGAAAAATGACAATAATTAATAATTAGGAGAATCTTGAAAAGTAGCTTTTTGTGGGCTTCTGCCAAGTGGGGAGGATGCAGCTTGTGGGATTCCCTGGGAGCGTGTGGTGTGTCTAGTGCACATCAGTACTCACACAGCACTGCGTTGTACAAGGAACCAGAAAATATGTATATTACATTTGTAGGCTGTGCGCAGCTGGAAAGGCTGCAAGCATTTGAGTGAAGGGGTCAGTATTGAGAAAGATCTTCGTAATTAAAACAATTCACTCAAATTAAGTGGCATTCAATTCTAGAACAGGTACAAAATGCTATGATTCAGTATAAATTATTTGTAAGATTAAATGATGAGGAATGACTGCCTATCTGGCAGTCTCAAGAAAGGATGTGAGGTTACAGTGGATAACAAAGTGAACATATGTCAAGACTGTTATAGCAATGCAAGGAAACATAAACAAGAATCCATTGTGCCCAAGCACTGGAAACAGCCTTTGTACTGTGTTTGGCAATGATCAGGCACCAGCTGGAGCATTTTGTCTGGTTCTTGACCCCATATGGAAACTTGGACTGAATGGATATCAGAGATCTAGAAAACACAGGCAGTGAGGGAAGATTGGAAGAATGGGTTTGTTTAATCTAGAGACAGGATAGCTGTGGACATGTGAGACTTCATGAAGTAAAACACTTGCTTTAAGGAGGGAGATGTGTGCCATGCCTAGTGCGGACAGCACCAGGGATCTGCTAATAGGCTACCAGAGGTAGTAGGCTAATATTCCTTTGGAAGAAATCTGTATTAGATGGTGGGAAAGGCTTTCTAACATCAGGACTGCACAAGCTACTGATAGAGGTTTCTGAGTACAGGCTAAAATATTTCTGAAAAAAAGTCATAGGTACTTTTATTGCTCCTGGAATGACATGGCGAATGATCAAGACTGGCCCTTATGGTCTTTCTAGACTTGGTCCCTATCTATAAAGGAACCACTGATGTCTTTCTGGGCATCATAGGCATGCAAGGATACTCAGGCCTGAATGAAAAGAAAGGCAGCAGAGTTTTGTTTTTGTCAAGAGAGAAGTTTTCCAGGAATTCTAGATCCTGGAAAAAATGGATATTCTGCTTAATATCACAGAAAATCTCAAATAGAGCTAAAGTTGCTGTTATTTTTAATAACACAAAGTGTTCTGTTGTTAAACAATAGATGTCACTTTTATTGTAAATACGTGAATCAAAGTTTGATTATGATGAAATTGTTCCTAATGATCCTTGTAAGATGCTAACAACTGCAAAACACTGACATTGTTCACAGGAGGGCAATGAGAAGGGCTCCTTTGTGCCTCAGGGAGAGGAAAAATAGTACTGAGTATCTCAAGTATTTTCTAATTTGAAGAGTTACAGATTTTGTATTCGGTTCCCAACAAATTGTGTTGTTTGTTAGCACTTCTCTGTCAAGCAGAATACTGTAAGGAAAGCTTTTTTTTACAGTGTTTCAGGAAATTAGCTTCTGGCATGACGTATTGGTACCACTGATGTTATCAGATTGCATCTTACTGCCAGGGTATGAAAGGCAGAGAAGTGATGGGGCAAAAATAAAGACAGAAAAAATATGTTATGAACCCCCAATCTCTCGTTTATAGTTTGGTCTCACTTGTGCCTGTACACAACCCATGATTTCCCATGCTGTTTTCTGAGTCTGTATGACACAAAGTACACAGTGTCAAGAAACAGAGATCTGTCTTAATTATATACTGTGTGCAGGATCTACTGTATTGGAAAAAAGTGAATGAGGAGCAGAGCTGCTTATATTGGTATATGTTTTTATGACTTTGTATTTAATACACAGCCTGTGCTATAAGGTAAGATAAAGGGCTGCTAATTGAGAATGTCTTCAAGTGTGGCTTGGAAATGATAATGAAACTAGACTATTTCAAATGAAATGCAGCAAAAGATTTGGAATTTGAGAGGTGGAAAAAATGTGGTGGATTCTATTCCAAAATGGATTACTTGAATCGAGAAAGTAGTTAGAAGCTGGGACTGGAAATCTGGAGAGCTAGGCTTTGGTCTTGGCTCTGTTGTACAGTGACTGTGTGAACTCTGGCAAATCACTTTGTAACTTGCTCATGCATTTCATCCTTCATTTTGACTTCATGCTCCTGAGAGTAGGGGCTAGGTCCCAGTATGAGGATTTGGGTGTGGAGCACAGTGGGAGCTCTTCTTGTCTGAGTGCAAGAATAGTTTGGAGGATAAATGATGGCAATAAGCATTGTGACATCAAGAAGTCTTCCAGATGAATGTGTTTGAGGCTATCTGGAAAGATAAAATGGAAAATCATTTTCCAGTGAATAAGACTTGTGTTTCTCTGGTGCCATCCGACAATGCTGTAAGAAGTCGGTGCTGCTTGAAAGAAAAGGGGCAAAAGTGAGCATGGAGTGATTGACAGTAAGAACTGGATGGAAAAAGGATGCATCCAGGTCCTATCTGCTCTGAGCAGCTTCCAGCACTGCAGCTCAAAATGATTCCCTTGATCTATTATCCTCTGGTTTCCACACAAATCTGGGTGAATAAACACCACAAAAAGGCGCGGTGTTTTCTGCCTTTGAAGCTGACTGGGGAAGGAGGAATAGTACTGGATTCTTCAGTGTGCAGCCAAAGATTGAATAACTGAGTGGCAAAGCTAAGAGGAGATCTCTTAGCCAAAACCTTCCTATGTGCTTAAGGCAATACAAAAACAATTTAGAAAGACATCAAAGGAATTTGCGTGAAATCTGGAATCACTTAAATGCCGTTGCTTCAAATAGGCCTGAATGGGAATGCAATAAAATTCCCACTCCAGAACACGTGAAAATTTTGGAGGACAGTATTACATTTCCGTCCAAATTCAGATACTTTCTGTTTCCTGGCCCTGTCTTGGATTCTGAATGTGAAGAACCATCACATGCATTCATTTCAATGTAAAAGGCATGACTAAGGGCCCAGGTTCTAACTATACATCTGTAGAATGTTTCACGGTAGTAAATTATTTTTGAAAATCCCATCTGAAAATGTTTTCTTTATTCTCCTTGAAATACAGGCAGATAGAAGAATAAAGTGAACTGGTACGCTGAAAATCATCCAAATACTGAAGAGGGGATGGTGTGAGTGTTTCATATCCTAACAGACAGAAGGATGGAAAGCTTCTTTCCTGAAACTTGTGTCTAGAAAATATCCTTAAGATGCTTACTGTACGCTTGGTGATTAGTGTGCTACACTGACTCACCACAATAACAGCACACACAGATCCCTTCTTCTGCGGAACCGTTGCTTCTCTGACTTGTTTGCTTTACAGACATTTAGGTCTCTTCCACTCCTTGTTTAAGATGACCTGTACACAATATCCCAGCTTGCATCGAATTAAATAATCAGTCCAACACCAAGCTCTTTCAGCACCAGAGCCCAAAGACAGAGATGGGAGAGAGTCATCCTGACAGCGGTTTTAACTGCAGGAGTCAGGGGCAGTCTTGTGTCCTCTGCCCAGCAAGATGCTTTCAACAGCAGCTCTTAATTAGATACATCAGGTATGAAAGTAGATGTAGAATAGAAATTAGTCACTTCTCTGCCCAAAAATCATCTGTACCCTCACTCAAATAGTTCTTGTTATTTTAGATTTGAGCATAGCTAGAAGTTGTCACATAAGAGTTACCAAGAAAAGGCATTGGATAGACCAGATATTGTTTAGGTGTGTGCCAAATCCAATCCAACACAGGAAAGTAATAATTGTTAACATGCATATTTTTTAGTGTCCTGTGTTTGTTTGGAGCCTTTGTTAGGACTTGGTATTACCCAGTCTAATTTCCAGATAAAGTTAATGAGGTTATTAAAATGAGAGCCTGAAGGATTAACTAATGTAAAAGGGGCTCTGCTTGCTCTTTTCCCATTTAAAGAGAAAAGCTCTTCACAAAATGTGTGAATGTATTTTTAACATGCTCAGCCTCTAACACTGTTTTAAATGGTGTTGACTTGTTGATCCTACATTAATGAAGAATTATAATAGCTTCCTCT